TAGAGTCAAATTTTTTTGCCATCAGAAAAATGCCTTTGAAAAGGTATACCTTAGTAATTGTGAAATGGTTTGCCCAAAAAAAGCAAGGAGGTAGAACTAATAAATGGAATGGGAAGAATATTACATTGGAACTATTTTCGTGTGTTAAGTAGAAATTTGTTCAATGTGAATATCCAGAACAGATAATTCAGAATTAAAATGTACATTTCTATGAATTTAGATCTCATTAATGGTCATACTAACCACAGAAGTGTCAAATTTTTAGAATTCTGATTAGTATGTTTTGCAGTTACATTGTTAAAAATTCTGAACCATAATGGAGGTATTATTATTGAAAATGACCATTCTCTAAAGGTAGATCAATGCCTGTAATGAGCTTTCAAATTTCCCTTGACAATGACTTCTCTTCATTCTAGAAGCATGCTTAAGACTATTATTGTCTAATTAAGAGGCAAAATAAAATTTTCTTAGGTCTTGCTTCTGATTCAAAGTATTATTTTCTCTATCTCCTTTCCTAGCCTGATAATTGCAAGACAAAGACCATAGTTTTTATGGCAGGAGCGTAGTGACTGATACACAATAGATACAAATATGTATTTAACAAAGAAATATCTTAAACTAATAATCTCTTCTCTGATTTTACTTTCTCATTCTCTGCTACTTAAATATTCTTATCCCTTATTTACTAAGACTACTTTATCAGAGTTTCTCCAGTGAGGCAGTATGAGGTAGTTAGGAGTACAGACTGCCTGCTTGCATCTTTATTTCACCACCCTTTTATATTCTGGGACCTTGGAGAAAAGTTACCTGTTATGGCTTGTGTCTAGATATTCCCCCAAGCCTCATGCAGTCATAGGTGGGGGCTTTTCAGAGGTGGCTGGCTCTAGAGTATGTGATGCTGGGATCGAGGTTGTGTGATAACTAAATCAGTCCACTGATTGGTCTGGCATAGTTCTGGGTGTGGATAATGGGAAGGCTCACCTTGGGTATGCGTGCTGACCACCCTAAGGGTGTGTAACCTGGATAGAATATAAGGGACAGAAAGAGGGCTGCTGTCATCACTTGCTACTTCTTCAAAACTTCACCACTTTGCTGCTTTCTGCCCACCATCAATTGTTTCTCCTCTGTGGTGACCCTCTCCCATGCCACCCTGCCTTGGAGCCAGCTAACTATGAACTGAAACCTCCACAAACTGTGAGCTACAATAAACTTTTGCTCCTTTAACATCAGGTGTTGTATATTTTGTCTCAGCAATGAGAAAGTAACTAAGGCATTGCTTAATATTGCTGTAGCTCAATTGTCTCCTTTTTAGAATGAGGATTGTTGTGCGGATTAAATGACTTAATATATGTACCCACAAACAATTAAATGTTAGTTGGTGTCAACACTATTATTATTTCACTTGACTTATATGCAGTTCTAACACTCTAACAATATTGATGACCTTTATAATTTATATTGGAAATCAAAGAGTACACATCTTTAATTTTAAATTTCTAGTTGAAGTCTTATGAAATTGAAATGAAGATGACAACACCTTGGGAATTTAAATCAGCCAGACATAAAATTCTTTGTTCTTTCACAGTTTGCCCAGAGATAAATTCAGGAAATTCTTATTTGAAGAAAAAAAAAAAACACTTCTGCAGAAGATGGAAAAAATAACCTCAGCCAAGATAAAAGGGAAAACACAAAAAATTATTCATTATAGGCTACCACATGATTTGCAAGACTGTAAAAATTGTTAAAAATTAAATAAGCAGGAAGCCATTGGTAAAGTAGTGCCATACTCTGCAAGAGAGAGAGAGAGAGAGAGAGAGAGAGAGAGAGAGAGAAGGAAGGAAGAAAGATCCATAACCTGAGAGTGTACTTTTGTAACAATAGCAGTTCCAGCCAATTGTAAAAGCCAATCACAGGCAGCCAACTGGTTATACCATGCCCAAATAAGGCAAATGCCTAGCTGTAGCAAATCAGGTGATTTCTCTGCTTTGCTTTTTTATTGAACCTATAAATCTTGCAGCTCGTGCTGCTAGGTAGGGCTCATGATGCTGGGTACTTCTGGCTCATAATGCTGCCTGATTTAATGACGAATTGTTCTTTCCTCAAATAAACTGTTTAATTTGTCTAAAGTTTTTTTACTAGTACAGTATTCAAATTAAGTTATGTGAACACACTTTGTAACTACAAAGTGTTTATCAGCTTCTTTTCTAAATAAAATATCATTAGCAATTTATGAGGCTGCCAGTTAATGAACTTGAGTGTCTAATAGCAATCTTATGTTTAACATGTTTGAAGCCTAACTTATTTTCCTCCTTCCATCCCACTACTCATTCTTCCCAATTTTCTTAAATGGAATATTCTTTAAGCAGTTATTCCAGCCCTATATCTGACAATCACATTTGACCTTTTCCCCCACCTGCACTCTCGCTACAATCATCTATCAACACATCTCAATAGCACCGGGTTCAAATTTTAAACACTTTTTGCTACCACTTTCACTACCATTGTAGTCCAAGTCTCTGTCACCTTTCTCCTAATATGCTGTGATAATCTTCTAACTATCCTCATTGTTTCTGGTCTTGTCCTCTATAGTCTAATTTTGCCGTAGTATTTACAGTGATCCTGTTTAAAGGTTAAATGAGAACATCTAAACTCGAAACTCTCCAGTAATTTTCCCTCCATTGGAAGTTAGATTATATATTAAGTCCTTGAATATCTTATAAGTCCCCACTGAATCTGGGGCATGTACTTTTCCAGTCTCAGATATTAGCATACTTCTCCTACCTAGTTCTTCTACAGATACAGAGGTGATGTTAATAGACCAATATGATTTTGTTTTCAGAGCCTTTTTTACTTATAACTCTTATCCCTGTCATATTGTTCATCCAGATATTTAAATGGCAACCTCTTTTCTTTCATTCAGACTTCTAACCTAATTTCTCTTCCTTAGGGGCCTTCCCTAAGTACTCTATCTAAAAATAGAACTGACATCAGTCTCTATCCCCCACACTACTCCATTTTTTCCTTGTAGCACTTTTTACTACCTAATATATCTTATTGGGAAAGAGAAATAAATATGTTTTATGACCATAACTCTTTGAAGTTTTTATGCATTACGACATCCCAATATCTAGAAAGTTCTTGGCATATAATAAGTGTTGTAAAGTATGGAAGAATTAAGCATTATAGGGCTGGGGATGTGGTTCAGTAGTACAGTACTTTTCTAGCATACTCCATGCACTAGGTTCAATCCCTAGTAGGACAACCACAAAAAATTAATTTTTATATTAAATTCAGATGTCGCTTCTGACATGATAGAGATTTTACTGTATTCTCTATTGCTTTAATATTTGCTTTTCCTTTCAAACATAAAATCCTCAAGTTAGCTTTCTATTATCAAAATATCTAAACAGGAAGCCTCAGTTTTGTAGAATTCAGGATTATGCAATTTAAGTAGAATGTGGAAAATCTGCTTAATATTTTGAAGACAGAAAGAATTTTTTTAATTTTTTAAACTATGATCTTAAATTTGGCAATCTTAAGTATAAAATTTACTTTCTTCTTAGTTATTATCATAAAGCAGCACTTCAGTGAACAATGCTTATATATGCAAACATTTGTAAGTAGCTGAGAAACAAAACATGCCTCTTAATGGTAAATAACATTCCATGCAACAAAGCAATAATGTGTATAAGAGTCACAAGTTGCCAAACTAATAAGAGAAAAAGCTAAACTTTCAGGAAAACTAAAATGCCTATATACCTCAAAAAACCATCAACTTCTCACTTTTATTTGCACTTTACACTGCCCTACTTTATTTCCTGTCAAATCCTTCCTGGAGAAAGTTGTAATGATAGCAGTTGGAATAAAATCAAGGCCAATTCCTGTGGCTAGGCCAGTTAAAAACTTGCCAAGACAGCTAACTGTCCAAGTGTACACCTTTAGCCTTTCTCTGTTATGATTATATATTTTATCCTCGCGCATGATTTTTAATGGGACTTAAGCACTTTGTGCAAAACTGGATTTGTTGTGGCACTTTAAAATCTTACTCCACAGAACATATTCCAATTTGAATCATTATATCCAAGTTTGCAAAAACTCTGTTTTTAATAATTTTGGGGAAAGTTTATAATTTAAAGTCTAAAAATGAAGAAAGGCAGAGACATCCAAATGGCAAGTGAGAGATCTTTATTTGGTCTGCACAATTCTACTTCCAATCTGGGAGTTTTTCCAAAAATAAAAAATAAAAACTGGCTAGATTACAGTAGAAATGTATATGTATTTTTAGACTAGGCTCCAACAAAAAGTTTCAATCTTTTCCCAAATTTTCACTTGCATAACCATTAAACTAGTGGCTCAAAACTCCTTTTAATTTTCCATACCTCCTGAAACAAGTTCAGTATGATGATCTCTTCTAGCATTTCTTCCCAGGAGATTACTAATTTAAATCTGAACTTCTTTTCAGGCCGCTTTGCTGTGATGGTCCATTTCCAGAATCTGGCACCAAGGCAAGGAGCATTTGAAACGTAGCCTTTTTAAGTAGGGCAATGGAGAGGGAATAGCAGAAGTATTTTGGACTGGGTGAAAGAACATAAAGAAGGAAAATTTCCACTTCACAATGCTTTTTTTTTTTTAAGAGATGGTGTTTGAGGACGGTGATACCCCAAGTCTCACAATTCAAGACCCCAAAAGATTCCATATTAAATCCAACTTATTCCCCAAAATACACATTTCAGAATCTGACAATGGCATTTTCCCGTATCTGGGGATTTTCCATCTCTCTGTCTTTGAGCACTCTCAATAGTCTCACAAAAACACCCTCATAAAAAGAGAGACAGATCCCGCTGAGACTCTAACGCAAGACCCGCTGGTTGTCTCGGGCAACCACGCGGGTCCCTGGAGAGGCCGGGTTGCTACCGCCTGCGCAGGGCAGCTGGGAACGCACCCGGCCGCCAGCACCTCCTATTGGCTGTCTCGGGCACGCGCCCCGCCCTGCCCTCCAAGTTTCCGTTGCGAAGGACGCTGCGTCCGTTGGTTGTCAGGATGGCTGCGGCGGGGTCGCTGCTGTCACCTCTGCTGTTTCGGGGCAAGGTAGCACCCGTCGCAGCTGCGGTCGCCACCCCAGTCAGCAGCTCCGCTGTGCGTGAGCCAGGGCTGCCGCGGGCGACTCCTCAGCGCCTGTGACTCGAGGCCTGAGAGACTGGGTGTAGGGAGAGGCCGAACTGAGGAGGAGGAGGCCGGAGCGGCCATGAGGGAGGCGCGGGGACAAGTCGGGAGGCGGCGCTGAGGTGAAAGATGCTGGCAGGGAGGCCGGGAGCCCAGAGCGCGGTCGCCGGCCTGGGCGCTGAATCCGCGGACATCCTCGGCAGAGCCCCCCTCAGCCCTCGGGAGAGCGGCGGGCGTCACCGACCTGGCGCTTACTTGTATCCTTCCCAGCCTGTGACCCCCGGGGCGGCAGTGTTCGAAGTGGGGCTTGTTTTGTTTTTTGGTTTTTGGTTTTTTTCGTTAGATTCCCACTGCTGCTAACGCGACTTGATCCAAAAAAGCAAGTCATCTTCATGAGGGTATTTGCTTTAGCAACTATCATTTTTTCCGTTTGACCCTAAAATTATACCATTTTATTCCTGTGGCTCCTTCTCCTGCCACCCTGTTGTCCCACCCCCAATCTCCAACTTCATTGTTAGTTTTTCGTAGATTTTAAAAATAAATGTGTATTCTGTGGGGAAGTATTTTTGCGTTCTAGAATTATGCCATTCCCTACTTGCATATTTGCCACTTTCTTATTAATCATGCTACTTAGAGAAATTGTACAAATAAAATATTTTGCTAGTCTGAAGATCTGTTTTAACAGTCTAGCTCATCCCTAATGCATTTTCCAGAGCTGCTAAACCCTACCACAATTTGGTCATTTGTTTTGTTTTCCGTCTCTACCCAGTCCGTTGTCAGAGGGACAGCAGAGAGGAAATGAACCTTGGATTATTTCTGACTTTTCCCTAGGAATTGGTTAAGCCTACCTTTGATATTGCTGTTGATTATACCGTAGAAAATTGAAAGAGTTGTTTTCAAAATATAGGAATCATGTTTATTCCTTCAGACCATGATATAATAGAATGTAACCTTTGTATTCTCAAAGGACTTTGATCAGCAGTGATGGTGCCGTGTAATCATCTTAAAGGAGTGTCTTCTCTTTCCTTAACCTTCCCACCCCACCACCATTTCATCCTGGTTTTCTTACCACATTGCCTCCAACTTCTGGGATACATTTTATATTGTGTTATGATTTTAACAGCAAACCATCAATTTCTATTGAGTGTCAGCTCTTTGATAAGCTGTATTGTAGGTTCTAGGGATACAGATCCACTGAAAAAGACAGGTATGTACCTCTCCTCTGATCACGTTTTCTTTAAGCTTCCATCCCTTTTATTTCTTTAGCCAAGTTCTCAAAGCAGTTGTCTGCAATAGCAGCTCGGGACCTTGCGCTTGTGAGGCAGGCGCCAGAACCACTGAACTTAATCCCTGGCCCATGCAATAGCAGCTTCTAGCTCCTCTCATCTATTCATTATTAAGCTGATTCCGTTTGTCTCACCCTTGTCGCTCCCCTGAATTTTCCTCTCAGGAAAATACTCTGAAATAAATAGGATTGTCCTCTGTATGACTTTTATTCTTCCCCCTTGTATTTTCTTTTCTTTTCTTTTTACATATTTTTATTTTATTTATTTTATTTAGTTTATCTCTAAATGAGAATATAGGCAGCATTGTAAATGACTCATTGACAAAGTGTGTATCTTTCCATCATTTTCATTAATGAAATGGTCAAAAACTTCCATTTTCTCACTTTACATGATGTGAACATAGATACAAATAACCAAAGAAATTGTAAATAGAATTCTGCAATACATCAGCCAGGGATTTAGCTCAGTGGTTCTGCCGCCTGCTTTGCAAGCACAAGGTCCTGAGTTCGATCCCTGGTACAAAAAAAAAAAAAAGAATTCTTCAATACATCAAAGGAATATAACCAAAAAGACTATATTCCAGAATTATGATAGATTTCTATAAAGAAATCCATTACTAAAATATATTTAAAGACTATATACTTAAAAGTAACCAAGTTATGATTTCAATAAATGACCAAAAGTCATTAATAAAATCCAACAACTTTTGCTTGTATGTATGTGTGCATCTGTGTGTAGATGCTTGCTGGCTTATATATGTTTTGCTAGCATCACATATAATTTTGCATAATATTTATTTTAATTGTTATAAAGAGAATTTGAACATAATAAATAAACTGTAACACTAAATCAAGAATGTTTTCCATTGCTACTTGGCCTTTTGGCTAAGATCAAGTGTAAGAATGTTTTCCACTTGAAGAAACAGTAAAGCACCTTATGTAAGTTTTTTTGGGGGGGGTATTATTTTGGATGTTCTTCGTTTCTGTAGTGTTTCCCATTGAATTCCTAGTACAGAGAAGATGCTCAAATTTTCTAAGTGAATGACTAAATGGAACAAAAAAGAAAACAAGTGAAAGAATCAGAGTCTTTTAAAAAACATGTCTTGATAAAAATTTTAATTGTAATATCCAAATGTGAGTGCAATACTCAGAGGCCATCTTTTTGTTGAAGATATTTTCTAACTAGAGTTAGAATTTCCTAATTGTAAAGGCTGTAAAAAAATACAACTTTATAAAGTTCATCTGACTAAAATTAACTGAATTTCTACATTTCAGTCTCTTAGAATCCAAGTAGAAATAAAGTTTGTTAAGAAAAACAAGAGCTCTCATCTTCATAATATGCCTTTTTCTCACAAATATCCTCGGATTTAGACCCATCTTAACACCTTGCCTCTCTTTCTTACCCATTTTATATCCAATTCTTTTTTATTTAGACATATTCTCTCACCATCCTTGGATCTTCATACCCCTATTCTGCTTAAACACCCAGAAACTAGTATAGTCCTCCTTCTCTACTCTTCCATGTGAATAATAAAATTGTTGGCAGAGAAAATCACAAGACAATACATATGGCACCACAAAAGAGTCCCAGCTTCAACCAAACAAGAACAGGGTAATCGCTTCTTACTGCCTATGCCTAACACCATTCTCAGAGGATTGTTTCACCACTTAATAAAACATAGATGCCATGAACTTCCTCAGGTCCCTCCCAACAAACAACACAAATGCACACACTCTCATCCACTTGTTTTCTTTCCAGGTTCACTAATAAAATACCACTTTCGTTGTAGAAAATGAATCCACCAATGTATATCCTTATTTATATCTACTTTCTTTTCCCTCAGTGGCTCAGGAATGTAAACTTTTCCACCTCCTTATAATTAACTTTCAGTTTCTCTTCATGGCCTTCTTTTTCCTTAGCCTGCAAATATGTTCAGTTCTTGACAATCCTTAAAATTAGGTACACTAACAAATCCTTTGATCAAAAGATCCTTTTTAACTGTATTCTGATGTTACCTATTTCTTATTCAGAACTCTAAAAATGAGTAGTCCATATTCACTATCTCTACCCTTAGTAATATTTTATTCTACATTCCAAAATAAATTTGAGCTGCTGAAAAGGATACATATAAACATAAAATTCTAAAAACTGACAAAAAACAGTTTCACATTTTTCATTCTTTGAACATATGGTAACTTTACCTTTTGAAGAGAAGTAATTTCCAAGGAAAAATATTCAAAGATAACATTAATTTAAAACTTTAAAAAAAATTGTATAATTAAATAGGAAATATAATGGGAAAACACTAGCATTAATTGATAGAGTTAATATCTATATTTTTCTACCTATATTGAACTTATTGCAATCGATGTTTTTTAGAAATCAGTTTCTCAGTAGATAAATGGCCATTAACCTAAATTAATGATTTTCCAAAGAGAAAAATTAAAATTAGCACACAACATAAAAAGTATTCTAGTTTGCTAATGCTTACATAATAAAACATGGTTTTTCATCCTATGTTTGAAAAAACCTTATCATATGTTCATGAAGTTTTGAAACTTGTATTTCTAAGTGCATATAGATTTGTTTAACCTCTTGAGAAGCCAATTTTTTACTAATGCATTAAAAGATATAAACTTTTCATCCTGTTAATTCTACCTCAAAGAATTTTCTCCAATTAGCAAATTTTTATCAAGCCATTAGTATATTCTAAGAACTGTAAATGTTAAAAAATAAAGCTAAAAAAAGACCAGATTATAGATTGCTATATAAATACACGCCCAAGAATTTGAGATTTGTCATGAAGATGATAGGTACTTTTGGAGAACAACAAAGAATAACAAAATCAGAGTTGCTTTGTGGAGGTTCAACAAAAGGACTATCATTTTAGGAGTACGGAAATGTGTTAGGAGAGTACCAAAGTAGTTTAGGCAAGTGATTTAGAGTGCCTAAATCACACAGAAGACGAAAGAGAATCAAGATAGCTTTAATAGACTTGGTAAGATAAAAGGTTGTATGATACATGGTTATATGTATATGATAATATATTTTAAACAATCTATTTGGAGAAAAGCTAAGTTTGAAGATAGATATTATAGTATTCTTTTTTGTTTTGTTAATATTAAATACATAAAAAATCCTTTAGACAAATGTTTAAGAGCATTTCTTATGGAAATACCCTACATTTATGGTACAGCTTGGAAAAATCAAAAGTTAACTATCCATTTAATATTTTTAAAAATTGAATACCATATTTGAAAAGATGCAAAGACAACAGCAGTCTTTATAATTCAGCAAGCAAGAATTATTTTATATATATTATATATAGTAGTCATTTAATTAAATTTTAAAATATATAGTTGTCAAAACAATATGAACGTTATGAACATTACCTTTGTGATTTTCTTTCTCCTCTTGTAATGAAATTTCAAGCATGTTGAACAGAATTGTCTTCATCTGTAGCTTAGTCCCCTATACCTCTCACCTGACCCAGAGCAACTTGTCTTTGGCACTCCTACTGTGTTCTCCTGTGTTCCCTGAATGAAGTCACATTTTCCTTTACTGCTGAATTATGACTTTTGCAGCTAACAATTTCTTGACATCTAGCACCTAATAAAGGACTATATTTGAGAAGAATAAGATATCTATACCTATTTCTGTGCTAGCCAAGAACCAGATTTCCTTCATTTTTGGTCTCATTCTTATAAATTGATAAACCTTTCAGTAAAAAAAAATCATGTATGCGAGAGTATTTGGGTGTTTGTCCGAGGTAGTTCAAAATTACATTAAAAAATGAAAGTGAAGTGAATTCTGACCTATGGTAGAGAGACACTTAAATAGCAGTATAATTGAAAACAAATAAGCTCCTACTAGCAAAAATTCAAATAACCAAAAATGTTGTTTGATGTGACTTTTTCAAAATATGTAATAGAATTTCTTTATAATATTGATGTTGATCTGGAGACTGGATCAAGAAAATGTGGGTTTTTTATAAAATGGAGCACTACTCAGCCATCAAAAATGAGAAATTAGAGACATTTATTGCTGAATGGATGTACATTGAGGCGATACTCTTAAGTGAAATAAACAGGACACACGTGTAAATACCGAATAGTTTCTCTAGTGTGAGAAACTGAAAGTGTAAATAAGGACTAAAAGGTATAATAGATAATGTGAAATAGGAAGAAAAGGGGCAAAGGGGAGGGGGAAGTGAGAGGGGTAGGGGAAAGGAAAGAAGGGAATGGAATTAATATGAGAAAATGAAAAAATGGAAACAAAGTCTTTGTAAATAGGGAGGGATGGAGGGGTTGAAGGGAGGGCAGGGGAAGGGGGAAAATAAGAACCAAGAGAGTATGTAAAGGTGCATATCTCCAGTGTTGAATGTCATTACATTGTACACCTAAAATGTACCAATAAAAGGATATACAAAAAAAAAATATTGATGTTGAAGTACCATAGGATCCTAACATTAACATTTTGAGTTAACAGGTCAGCATAACTTGTTGAATATATTTCTGGAGTCTATATTACCATTAAAAGCCAATTTATGACATTAATTAAATGGATCTCTTAAAGAGAAGTGTAGACCTCAGTTGTTTGGAAAAAAATTTTAAACAACTTTTTATTCTAAAAAAATCAAATGAGCATGTTTTGTAATCTTATTTTCAGTGTAACTTCACATGCATCGACATCCAGTGATGAGGCACTGAATAATTGAGTAGTATTTCAATGACCATTTTTAAATTCAAAATCATGAAAAATTAGAACAGTACTGTGCCAAATTTAATGAAAATATTTAATAAAATAGAACAAATAATTTGAGGAACCTAATTAACCATATCAATACAATTTATTTAAGGGAAGTTTAATTATATACAATAAATTTCAAATGAATGGATGATTAGGGTAATCAGAATATTCCATTTCTTCTCTAGAAAACTTCTGGATAAACAGATGACTATGCATGGTTGAGTGTTTTTTTTCACAATCTGTCTGTAAATCACTAATAACTGTATTCCCAAGCATTCCAATTATATTTCTAGTTGATTTTAAATATTTGAATATGATTGATAAATGATCTGGTAAACGTGTAATTTATCTACTTTCTATTAGTGAAATACAACCTTCTTTCATTTTCTTATGTACATACCTCTAAAGCCCCTTGTTAGTAAGTACTCAAATATCTGCACAATGAATAAAGATATGCAGGCTCCATGTTTGGGCTCCTAATTTCTAAAAATAATTTATTTTCCCCTGAAGACAGTGAGATGTGTCTTAAATTCTAATACCAAGTCATAATTTTTATATGAAACATCTTCTGGTCATATACTAATACTGTGTATGCATACTAATTTTTCAACAGAAACATCATTTTATCATTTGCACAAAGCTATAATTTTCAGATAGTCCTGACACCCACTAAAGACATGAACTGTTGTTCTTAACTTAATGCTATCTTTAGAGATATGAAAATCCATCTAGAAAAAAATTTAGAGGAAGAACGCCAAATATTACTGCAGCAACAAAAAATATGTCGAAATCGAGCACGTAAATATTTTGTGGAGTCAAACCGGAGAAAAAAGTAAGTAACTGTATTTTGTTCAGCAGTGTAAAAATTACAAGTCAATTACAAGTTAATAGCTTCTCTACTTTTATAGCACTTTATGAACATAAGTCATGATGTGATATTTTATCTATAAAACAAGATTCTCATAACATTGGAAATTTTATTGTTTTCTGCCTAAAGCATAGAAATAGTGGTATATTTTCTAGTTCACTGATTTATGACCATAGCAATCTTTTCTTGTCATAGAACAGCTTATCATAGTATCACATACACTCCTTAAAGTGACTGTAGAATATATTATCTTCTTTGTTTTTGATGAATTAAAAGACTAAAAATTTTTACTTCATAACATAATGTAATTTGGCTTTATTATTCAACTTAAATAATTTTTCTATATTGCCACCCTCTTTCATTCAATTACAAAACTAGGGAGAAATAGGAATCATGGCAGAAATGGAATAAATACAATTTTATGAGTGACTGCCCCCAATAAAGCTTTAAAATAAAGTGAGAATACAAACTATCCAATTACCGTTTAGCATTTTTAGGATTTTTTAAATTATTAGTTTTTTAAGACAGCAATTATGCAATTTGTATTATTGTCTTTGCTACTTTATCCATATTCCTACCATATATGAAAAGCAGAAAATCCCAAGAGTTTATTAACTACATTGGGCATATGCTGCAAATCTCATTTGGGGAATACAAAATTGTTTACTGATAATTTTTTTTCTGACATTACATTTCTCTTTAACCTTTTCTTTGTCCAACATAGTTGAAATTATTTAATACAGCTATTTTTATTTTTATTTTGTGTGTATATGTTTCTGCTTTTCCCCTATCTTTGAATCCTAAAGCTTGTAAAAGGCACATGACAGGTATTCAATAAAAGAGATTATAGATTTTCAAGTTTATACTGTCCACTTGGTTTGTGGTTATGGAATTTTTTTTTAAGTATTCTTTGTTCAGGTAGAGACAGTTTCCTTCTGCCATTTGTCAGCTGTATTTTGACATTGTCAGTATGTGTTCCCAGTAGTAGTCAAAGGAAAATGTTCCTAGCGTCAAATGTTGTATATTTCCATTAATTGCTTAAACATTACACATTTATTTTCTTCTTATGTACTGGTTTCTTGAACAACTGTTAACCAATATTTTTCTTGCATTATATGTTCTTATCACATTTTCAACTTTTCTGTTCTCTCATTCAGTATCTATGCAATAGTCTCCTCTGATTTCCTCCAGAGATTTTATCCTTTTATCTTCCTGCTCCAAAAGATACTGGTTACTTGGGGGCCTATTATGTAACTGGCATCCTGGTACTTTCTCTTATTGCTCTTAGGAGTTGGAGCCACAATTTCTCTCCTTCTACAGTGTCCCTTTTTTTTTTTTAATATTGTTAATATGCTGGGGCACATCCTAACAGAACTTTCTAATATGCTACTTTGTAGACCAAGCAATTTTAAGCAATTTTAATCTGATTAAATAACTTCATGAAGAATAGAAATTGAAACAGATTTTTAAGAAGGAGACAAAAAAGAGACTTCAAATAACTTTAAAACACTATAATTAAGCATACAGACTTAAAAGTTCGGATGATGTGACAAAAGACCTGCGTAACCAACTAGCAAAGTAAGAAAGACAAAGACCAAATTAGAAAAATTACCCAAAGAGAAATAAAGACTGCCAATTAACAGATAAAGGGCAAGCACATTGGAGGAGTAACTAAAATCTACTATAAAAAAGATTTAATATTCTTAGAGCAGAAATAATTACCTAGAGAATCAATGAAATTAGTTACAGTATGAACATGAAGGATGAAATGGTTGCATTATGAATTTGTGAGAATGATGGAGTTTGGAGTTTACCATAAAGCATGAAAAAAATTACTCTTAGAATAGATAAGAAGGGATTATACTTTAAACAATAAGTTATATTTCTTTCCATACATCAATATATAATATAGCTAAAGAATAGATTCAAATAAGTTTAAATATCAATAGGTTTAAATATTCATATATAATACAGCCATATGATATTAAAGATAAAGAAAATTAGGATATTTATGTTATCTTTGACCTTTTAAAATGTTGTCAAACATAATGGTCATTTATTTACTCAAATAACATTTACTAGGAAACTCCAAGCTTTGGAAGATAAAAAAATGAATGGCATGATCTCCTGCCCTCAGATTACTAATAAGAAATGGGGGATGGCAGTCTTGTCCAACAAATACTATAATAGAGTCACCTATGAGGCACTATGAAAGGACATCTCATAAACTTAAAAACAAAGAAAAATTCCTTGAAAAATGTTCTTAATAATTAGCTATGAGTTAGCCAGGGGACATGAAGAGGAAACATGTTTTATGCAGAAAGAACAATATATGAAAAGCCTAATGTTATAAAATGTCAAACACTTATATATGTCTGATGTACTTGAAAATATGGAAGAATATTGGGAAATGAAGCTATTACATTGGTAGGAGACATTTCATGAAATAACTTTGGAACCAATCTAAAAAAATTGGGGGCTGGGGATTTAGCTCAGTGGTGCTGCCTGCCTCGCAAGCATAAGATCCTGAGTTCAATCCCTGGTACCAAAAAAAAAGAAGAGAAAGAATTTATCCTGAGTTAGATTCCAGAGAAGTTATACTTGCATTCTAGTGAAGAGGAGTAATAGAGAAATTTTATGATAAGCTTTATATCTTACCTCATTATAGCAAAAGGGTAGAAGATAAAGTAAAAGGACAAACTGCAAGCAAATAGTAGAAAACTGTTATGATCTAGGCAAGTTGAGATTAAGTAGGTAAAGTTCATAGGAATAAGGACCAATAATATAGGTGGTACATGTAAAAAAACTCAGAAATGGAATACTTATAGATTATAAAAACTTAACATTTTATTGTAACTCTAAAATATGTACATTTTGGTGCTCTTTTATGCAGATTATAATATGGGTTTTGGTCTTTTGCTCATGCCCTAGAATCATTATTATGAGCATTAGATATTGTATTCTGTTATTATATTGCCATATATATATAAAATAAAACCTATTATGCTTTATTTAATCTACAATTGCTTCTGACAGGTAAGATTGGAAAATTCTATTAGAGATTTTCAATCATCTCTTACTATTAACTATAATTTTTTAAATAAAATTAAACTCATTTTGAGATAATTGTAAATTCATAGGCAGTTGCAAAACTGTACTGAGAGATTGCATATACTCTTTACCCAGTTTTCCTCAGTGGTAACATCTTGCATAATTATGGTACGGTATCCCAGTCAAGATTATAAAATTTGTATGGCCAAAACACAGAATATTTCCATCACCACAAGGATCCCTCATAGTGCTCTTTCATGGCCACACTTGCTTCTCTCTCATTCTCAATCCCTGGAAATCACTAATCAGTTGTTCTCCATTTCTACAACTTTTTTTCATTTCTAGAATGTTATATAAATGACACCATACCATATATAACATTTTGGGATTTCCTTTTTTTCCATAACACAATTCTCTGAGATTTATTCATATTCTTATATGAATAAGTTTTATGACTATTATTTCATGATATAGATGCACCAGTTTGTTTAAAACATAAACCCATTGAAGAATATCTGAGTTATTTCCCATTTGGAGCTGTTATGAATAAATTCACTATAAATATTTCTTTACATGTTTTTGTATGAACATATGTTTTTATTTCTCTGGCATAATAACCAGATATACAACTACTAGGTCAGATACAAAGTAGTTAGTTGTACACTTAGTGTTTTAAGCAACTGCCAACTGTTTTTCAGAAAAACTGATCAAACCCACAGCAATATAAGAGTAATCCAGTTTTTCTATATCCTCACTAACATTTGGTATTATCGGCAATATTTTATTTTAGCTGTTGTGACAGATACATAGTAAGATCTCATTGTGGCTTTATTGTATACTTTCCTAATTAAAGATGCTTAGTAGTACCTTTTCGTGTGCTTATTTGCCATCTGTCTGTCTGCTTTAGTGAAACTTCTCTTCATGTCATTTATTCATTTCTAAATGGATTATTTGCTCTTTTTGTTGAGTTTTGAAGTTCTACATATATTCTAGATACTAGTCCTTTATCAGATATATCATGTATAAATATTTTCTCCCACCTGAGAGGTTGTCTTTCCATCATCTTAATATGAAGTCTTTGCCAAAGCAAAAGTTCTGTATTTTAATGAAGTCCAGTTTACCAATTTTTCCTTTTATGGGCTGTGTTTTTGGTGTCAAGACCAAGTACTCTTTGCTCCGTCCTAGTTTTCCTCCTTTATTCTGTCCTAAAAGTTTCATCATTTTATGTTTCACAGTTAATTCTGTGATCTATTTTAAATTAATTTTTATATAAAATGTGAGGTATAAATCAAGGTTTTAGAATTTTGGTTGTTGTGGGATTTTGGAGGGTTTGGTTTGGATTGAGTTGGGTGTTTTGTTGGGGGGGGTAACCTGTAAATGTCCAATTGTCTAGCATTATTTATTGAAAAGCCTATCTTTCCTCCATGAATTGCTTTTTCACCCTGTCAAAAATCAGCAGGCCATATCTGTTTGAGTCTCTTTCTGGTTCTGTTTTGTATCTACTCCTCCACTAACACTACATAATTTCAACTATTGTAGCTATATAACAAGTCTTCAAATCATATGGACTAATTCTCCATTTTATTATTTTTCAGAATTAATTTAGGTGTTCTAATTGTTTTGCCTTTATATATAAAATTTAAAATAATCTCATCTAAACCTGAAAAAATAGTATTGGCATTTTGAAAAGAACTGTGAGATGGGAAGAATTGATATCTTTACTGTGTTGATTCATCTAATCAAACTATTGAGGTTTTATTTCAGTTTTTAGATTTTTAAATTTTCTATTTGATTCTTCTTAATACTGATTCCTTATATCTTCTACATATTTTCTGGAGCTTTTTATTTCTCCATTCACAAACATTTTCGTAGTTGCTCATTAAAACATTTTTATCATCACTGCTTTATAATCT